AGAAAAGAAGGAGAGAGAGAGAGAGAGAGAGAGAGAGAGAGAGGTGCTGGGTGGCAACACCTAAAACAGAATAGGTATGGGGTGGGCACCTAAGAAATGAGTTTGGTAACTGGAAGAAACAAGAAAAGCAGCTATTTAGTGTTTTGCGTTGAGACATTTGGGTTTAATTTCTGAAAGGTGTCTTTAGTAGCTGCCCAAATCCAGTAGAGAAGAGCTAGAAAGCGCCGTTTTCCTCAGAGAAAATAAAGATCTTCTAAACGCTCAGGACCCCCCGAACCGCTTCCAAGCCACCCTGGACGGAGAGAGAGCCAACATGCCTGCCATCTGCAGAGAGCTCACACGGGGGAGTGGCATGCTGATGTCACCAAAACAAAAGCCACCCGAAGGTCCCCGTAGGGTCTCTTCTTTCTGTTCCTGCGATGTCTCTCACGCCTCCTTTTGGAAGAAGCATTTGGTCTTCCCTCGAAGAACACCAAGGAAGATACCACCAGCCGTCACCCCTCGCCCCCTGCGAGGGATGGACTCTGGCCAAAATGGGCCAATCAAACACTCCTTCCATAGTCTGCAATTTCATGGCAAGGACTTAAAGATGGAACTAGGCTGCCCTTGAGACAGGAATGATTTTAGGATGGCACCTTGACGGGGTGCCCGCCCGGAGCTTTCCTGCCCCGGCGTCTCCCAAGGCCAAGTTGTTCCAGTTCTCTAGAACATTCTACAGAATGTTCATTCTGGGGGCTACCCTGTTACCACAGATCACCACCACTTTTCCGTTTTCCTTTCAGTGAACCAGAGTCAGTTTCTGTTGCTTTCCGAACTCACCTCTCACAGTCCCACTGAAGTAAAGACCCAGGAAGAGGGTCATTGTGACTGGGAGGAAGGAAGCGAATCGTGTTAAGAGCTGTACTCTCCTCGGGGCCACATATAATGCAGCACAGTTAGATGTAGCCAGGTGAGACTTACTTCCATGCTCTGCTTGGCTTCTCCACTTTGAAGAGAAACAGACCACAGGTGCCATCTGAGCACCCCTCACTCTGCGGTTTCCTGTGATGAAAAATACTTTCTAAGTTTTCACACCGATTTTATTCAGTGCTGCCTACTGGTCACGTTCACTAACGAATGAATCAATGAATGTTTTAAAAAGAATAATTTTTTAGGGGCCGGGGATTTAGCTGAGTGGTTCTGCCGCCTGCCTGACAAGTGCAAGGTCCTGAGTTCGAGCCCCAGTAACAAAATCAAAAACAATGGGGCCAGGGATTTGGCTCAGTGGTTCTGCTGCCTGCCTTGCAAGCACAAGGGCCCAAGTTCGATCCACGACACCAAAAAAAAAAAAAAAAAATTTTTTTTTTTTTACAGAATGCCCTTGAAGAGAATGAAAACACATGTGGGCTGGGGATGTGGCTCAGGGGCACCGTGCCTGCCTGGCAAGAGCAAGGTCCCGAGTCTGATCCCCGGTACAAAAAAAAAAAAAAAAAAAAAAAAAAAAGAAGTGTAAAGCAAGCCAGGGGAAGCATCAAGCCTACCGAGAGGTTTTTCCTCAAGAGGTTTCAAGACCCTACCACCAAGGGAAACCAGTCCTCTTGGGTATCGATCCCATCTAACGCCTTCTGGTCTAGATTTCTGTGACCGTCATCCTTCCGGAATGGTGGGCCCACTCTAAGGTCTGGAACAGCCCAGCCCAGGGTGTCAGGGGATGAGGGTCAGGGAAGCCTACGGGCTTTGGCTACTAGAGTTACCTGTGGCCTTCGAGGAATCTTGACCAAGAGGTCGTACACTGGACGCCAGAGGAACAAGGCGGCTGCCGATCATCCTAAGCTGGGCCCGCACGGATGCGTGTGGGACATCTGTCTCCAAACTTAGAATCCATAGAAGTAACTGCTTTCTCAGAGGTTCCGCTGCCTGCCTCACAAGCACACGAACCCGAGTTCGATCCCCAGTACCAAAAAAAGAGTAATTGATTTGACCATATTTTCTACAAAGTAAAGCAAGCTCTTGGTGTGGCTCAACTGCAGAGCACTTGCCTAGCAAGGACAAGGCCCTGGATTCACACACACACACACACGCAAAGATAACCAAAGACCACAGAAATGCACTACATGAAGAACATGTGTGTTTCCTGGGGGAGGGGGAGAAATAGCCCTTTCCTCAAACCTGCAGTGCGCCACACCCATTTCTCAGGAAACCAAATGCCAAAGCAGGAGATGGACCGGTAAACACAGCAGAGATCACGGGCTGGGGGGAGGCTCGACACATCCCATGCGCTGTCCCATCTGACCCTCGTGTACCCAGCGGATGCACATTAATTATAAAGCACATGCCAGATAATGTCCTAGGTGCTGAGAATAGAGCATCAAACAAAATCTCAACCGTGAAGATAGAAAACAAACGATAAAACGTGCACACATCGGTGTACCTACGTGTCTGCACATCTGTGACTACGCCACAGGATGCTCAAGGGTACGGAGAAAAAGAAAGCCAGGCGAAGTGGACACGAAGCGGGAATGCACGGGGGCGGGGGGCGGCTCTTCACAACACTGCAAAGCAGAGACCATGTCACAGAGGAGAACTGGCTCTCTCTAGAGCGCTCCGAAGGCATTCCTATATGCTTTATACATCCCCGTGTAGCTTCCTAAGTGGCCTTCCTCTTAGGGAACCTGGAGTCACGTCCCACGGCGACAGAGAATGAAACTGACAACGGAGGAGGGAGGGTGTGAGAATTTTTATTTAAGAGATGGGAAGGCAGGAAAGAAAACAGAATAAAGGCAAGGAAGCTCCCGTTAGCCAGGAGGGGGTTCTGAGTAGGATACCCACCAGGGCTCTTCGTGTAGGGGTTTTGAAGGGATTTAGAAGAGAGCGCGGCCATTGTGTGAGCGATACAATCCCCATCCTGTGGGGGAGGCGGCACAGTTTTTAGGATGCAGTCTACGCGGTGTCCACGCGGGGCCCGTGTGCCCTTGAGCCCCCGGCCTGCCGGACCACGCTCCGGTGGGCGTCCCGAACAGCCCAAGGACACCCGACAGATTTCCTGCAAGATTCCTGGCCGGCTGTGACTCAGCAGACTGTGTGGGGCTTCCCGATCCGTTGTAGGCCCACAGTTCTTATGGCCCGACACAACCCTAACTGCTGTCCCGCTTACTCCTGTTACGTCATCATCCATCATCCCCATTCTAGTTTTCAGCCATGAGACGCCAGGGAGTTAAGAGGGCTGCTTGGGTTTAAATCCTGGCCGTGATTCATTTTAGCTGCGCGACCCTGGAGAAGTAAGGAGTCTCTCTGAGTTTCGCTCTACAGCACTGCTGCACACTAGACATATGAGAATCATGTAATTTTTATACTTTGAGCAGCCACGTTTTACAAAGAAAAGAAAGAGGTGAAATTAGGTTCAGTATTTAACTCAGTATGCCCAAAACATCACTCCATCTCAGTGATGTACAATTCTGGATCAGATCTTTTGCATGCATATAGCATGTTGCAAAGCCCACACATCTTTGCTACTCAGCGCACAGCTTAGTTAGAGCCATCCATACTTAGCTGGGAAACATGGCGCCTTCTTATTACCTCAGCACTGCGGGAAGCTGAGGCAGGAAGATTACCGACTCAAAGCCAGCCTTGGTAACCTAGTGACTCGGACCTCATCTCAAAATGAAAAGGGGGGTTTTAGTTCAGTGGTTCCGCTGCCCGCCTCGCAAGCACAAGGACCTGAGTTCGAACTCCAGGACCAAACGATAAAATAAAATAAAAAGCAAAAAAGGGAGTGGGTGAGTCGGGGATTTCGCTCAGTAGTGCCGCCGCTTTTCAGCCTTGCAAGGGCAAGGTCCCCAGTTCGATCCCCGGTACCAACAACTAAATACCTAAATAATGAAAAGGGGCCTTGGGCTAGGGTTGAAGCTTAGTCAATCCCTGAGTATGACCAAAACACACACCCACACGCGTCCAGGCGCACTTCCCGTACCACGGTGCTTAGTGGCACCCACTCCAGACAACAGAGGTCAGCAGGATGGAGGTGATGGGAAATGAGTAATCCCCGCCTCGAGCAAATAACCAACCAACCACCACCACCACCACCACCGATCTGGTGCCGAGCTCTTCTGCAAAGAAATATTACATTAAATATTAGTTACCTTCATTCCTGAAAGGGTTTGAGTGGACCTTCCTTGGTGCCCTGAACAACTCACCACAATCTAGTCCTGTTCTCTGATAATACTACTCACCTCACTGGGGTTGCTGAGTGATTTACAGGAGACCTGAGGAGACCGGGCTCGGCCTAGCCGCAGGAATGGGGAAAGGCTGATCTCCACTCCCGCTCCTTGCTCACCAGGAACCATTCATTTTCAGGCTTTCCACCCTGCCTGGGAGTGTGATTACGACAGGGTCAGTCTCGGTTTGTTGCTTGGTGGTCGTACTGGAGATTGAACCCAGGTGCTTCACGACGAGCGCTATGCCCAGGCTGTATTGTAGGGGACAGGACAGTGTCACATCGCATCGCATTTGCCTTTCTTTGGCAGGGGAGGGGCGACAGGGTCTCCGTAATTGCTCAAGTTCCAAAAATGGGCTTGAGCTCGGGATCCTCCGGCCTCAGCCCCCCGCAGAGCGCTGAGATCACACGCGTGCTTCACTACCCCCCCGCTCCGGAATTTCAAGGAAAAGCTTGGTCCCAACCTCCCCCGGGGACTGGACCTCAGTGTTCTCCCCGAGCGGCCCCCGCCTCCGGGTGCCCTGCCACCTCCAGAGCCACATCTCCTGCCTGCAGGCCCGCAACGGTACAGCGCCTCCCCCGGCGCGCAGCTTCTCCCATTTCAGTCCACCCGGCCCCTGGAAGACCCACCCGTGGTGGTTCACGCGCTCCACGGACCTTAGCACCTGCCGAGCGCCTGCCGGCGCGGGCACAGGCACAGGCCTCCACGATCTCGGATATCGGCGGTGGAGACAAAACAAGATACCGAAAGGGGCCGCGAAAGGCGGACTCGCACCGCAGGAGAGGGCGGATCAGAAGCGGGGGGGGGGGGGGGGGGGG